GCCTTCCCTTGTTTTGTTTGTGTGGTTCCTTCTTCTTTGGTTGTTTTTTTTTTTTTTTTTTTTTTTTTTTTTTTTTTTTTTTTTTTTGTCAATTTGACACAAGCTCAACTGAGAAAAATACCACCATCAGTTTATCTGTAAGCAAAAATGTCAGGCATTTTCTTCATTAGTGATTGAAATGGGAGGGCCCAGCTCACCAGGACCAGTGCATCTTTCTTCTACCCCGTGCAAGTGGTCCTGGGTTCTAGAAGTGGCAGGCTGAGAAAGCCATGAGAAACAATCTGGGAAGCAGCACACTCCATGGCCTCTGCATCAATTTCTTCCTCTGGATTCCTGTCTTGAGTTCCTGCCCTGACTTCCTTTCCTCCACAGGTTGCTATTGATCGTGGTTTCTTATCACAACAGTAGAAACCAAATGAAGTCACAACCCTTTGGTTTCCAGGCCTCCCAGGGCTACCATCTCCTGCTGCTGTCCTGCCTGAGTGGAGAAACATTTCCTGTCTCCGGTAAGCAAGTTCCTTCAGCCAGTGTTGTTCTGCAAAGGTCTACAGGGCTTACATACTTCATTTTCTCCCTTTGAGATGTTTCCCAGATAGTGAATTAAATGTCTAACTGATCAATCAAGTTAATGAAAAATTTCAGTTCAAAGTATTACCTGCCATCATCAAATCCAAACCCACAATGTTCCCTTAACTCTTCTATCAGACAAAATAAAGTTTCATTCTTTCCCAGGAACTTTCCAAAGAGTTATCTCTGTCCTGTATTTCATTCATTCATTCATTCATTCATTCATTCATTCACTCAACAACCATTTAGAGCTTCAAAAATAATATCAGACAGTGCAAGTTACTTACCCATCTTCACAGACTTTTCATTTTATCAAATGACACAGGAAAATTAAAAAAACAAAAATATTAATGCTACTTACTCACAAACACATAAATCCATTATTTATTTGTATAATAAATCATACATAAATCATATTTATTTGTATAATAAATCATTTGTATAAGTCATGTTAAGTCTTTTGGCTGGGAATTATAGATAGCTCTGGACACTTTCATTAAAGAGAGGCATGCATGGGAATGACATGGCGATGTCTAATAGGATCCAAAGAAGAGACAACAAAACCCAAGAACCAATTTGACTGAATTTCTTTGACAGTAGTTTATGAATCTTTTTTTTGATATGCTTCATTAACATGACTTTGTTATTAACAACTCCAAATCTTGCCACTAATAAGGAGACTTCATCTGTCTCACTTGAGTGTAATGTCTGCCCCTGGACTAATTAATGTAAGCTAGGAGTAATAGTTTCAGAGTACAATTGTGGTTGTCTGGGCTGCCTCTGGGTTAAGGAGTCAAGCAGCCTCTGTAAAATTATTTATACAAGAAAAGGAGAAATTTTCCCAAGAGCATGTGACCTGGTTTTGGGAAGTGGTATCAAAGTTTCCACTATGTATGAGACAGATAATCTTGAAACCCAAAGTAGGAAGAGAACTAAGTCAAAAGGAAACATGGGAAGTAAAGAAAGAGCAGGATACCATGAAAAGCTGAAATGGTGTCTTCAAAAACTCAGAGGCAAGGGGTTCATCAGAAGGCTGTTAGTCAATAGCTTAACACTAGAAGCTGGCAGTCTCACCTCAGACCTCAAGTCCTTGTAACCAGTTCTCTCTGGAAGCCTGCCGGAATCCTGGAGGCCATAGGGCACTCCTGAGTTCCTGGGCTGTGCACCTAGAGCTGGCTCTGCTTTACTGGCATTGAAAAAGTTAGTAGACAGCTTTGATTTTTTAGTCTGTCTTTACCTCCCAGAAGCACTTACTTTCTTGTAGAAATATATTGGCTTTTCTTTTGGAGTGGGTAGGGGAAAAAAGGTTAGTTAAAATTTCTTTCACCTTCTTTCTTGAGATTTCATCTGATCTTTCTATAAAGCAGACCTATATAAATTCGAACTGAATTTTAAATGGTTATCAAGCAGCTTTTCAATTCCTGAAATTAGTTTTCTACTAACTTAAGACCAGAAATTTGGCCGTTTTGTTCTTTTGGAGAAATGGTTATTACTAGGAGTCATATGGAGTGAGATTCTGACCCATCACTATTAATGCCATATGGAGTAATTCCAAATAGACACAGTGATAGCTGCAGTGATTGGAACTGAGGAAACCGAGATGAATTAAATAGGATCAAACAATTCTTGACATTCCTCCCAAACTGAGGTGGTTTATTTCCCATCCTCTTGAACCTAGGTTGGGGTTAAGGTCTGTGCTGTGCATCTGGAATATGAGGAAGAAGTGATGCTGGATCCATGCCTAAGTCTCCAGAAGGAAGACAGAGAGCCCATGCTTGTGCCCTGGAAGACAGCTGCCATACTGTCAGGAAGCTCCAAGAGACTACTGACCCAGAAAAGGAGCATAGTGCATCCTACAGTGGGGTGCCATCTTGTGAGTCCCAGTGCCAGACAAACTCTTCCAGCTGAGTGGAGTTCCTGCATAAACTCAGACACACCCTGTGGTTCAGAACTGCCCACATGGGCCCAGTCCACCCACAGAATGGCCAGGCATGCTAAGGTTTTCCTAATGGAAGCTGTTTAACATGGAGAGGCTTGTTATGAAACAGTAAATGCGTCAGCAAGCTCCAGTGTGGGTTTCTTTTCCATTTCTTTAGAAAGATTAAATTTCTAATTGTTATTTTCTTTATTTTGTGCCTTATAAAAAACACTTGAAGTGTTTGCTACTGATAATTATTACCAGAAATCAAATAGAAAAAGACACCTTCCTCTTACTCCCCTTGTCACTCAGTTCTAATTCCAGGAGTGATCACTCTTGGAAGTTGCTGGCCCCTAATTCCCGGTCTTCCTGCCTCTGCTTCCTACGTGATGGGCCATCATGCCTGACTAGGTATTTGAACATAAGCACAAACATATGTGTCATCTTTTTTCATTTGGTTATATACCTTCATTATTCACTAATATACTATGGAGGTAGCTCCGTATTTGATTTACAGAAAGCTGCTTCACTTTTTAAAATGATCACATCACGTTCTGTTGCACAACCAACCCTAGTTTATCTTGTGAGTCTCCTACTCATTGCTGCTTGCTTCTAATCACACTGTTGTATCTTTCAGCTAAAGTGTACTAAATTAAACACCTCTGGCAAAAGGAGAGGATGCTTACATCAATGGGCTATGGTTAAAATATTTTTTAAAATCTGTCTCTGGTTTGCTATAGTTTTGCAGTTTATTCTTAAGATTTTTTGACAATTGTAACTCCCCTCCTTTCTATTGTTATTTTATATTTTAATTATTTTTATTAAATTTATTTTTTAAATTTCATTTTACATCCAACTACAGTTCTCCCTCCCACCCCCTCACCTCTCCCACCCCAGCCCAATCCCATCCACTCCTCCCAACAGGTAAGGCTCCCATGGGAAGTCAACAGAGTTTGGAGCATTAAGTTGGGGCAGGACCAAGCCCCTCCTCCCTGCGTTATGCATGGCAACCCCTCAGAGGGAATGTGCTCCAACAAGCTACCACATGTATATAATAGTGAGAAACTCCAGTGAACAGAGAAAATTCTAAGGATGGAGGAGAGCACCTCTCCACCGAAAGGGGGCCTGGAGGAGAAAGCCCAGGCACCCTAAGTGGGCTGGACGGAGAGTAAAGAAGTTTACATCAGACTATTGAATGCTAGTCAAGTGGAGACAGGAAGGAAAGTCAGTGCTTGTAATAACAACTCATGTGGAGGAGAGCCAGATTGCATGTGGAAGTGGGCAGATTATGTATAAAATATCTTTAAATTATATCTTAATTCACTGCAATTGTCCTGCACCTAGAAGAGAATAAGAACCAATTTTCTTATGGAAAACATTTAGTGAAGGAAGTGAAAGTGGTTGGCTCTGACCTGTAGGGGTCATTGTCTAGCTCATACATTATTCATCCCCAAAGTGCTTTTCCTTCCTTCTTTGGTGGAATGAATTCTTCAGCACAAGGTTTATAACCCAGACAGAAGGCACACACTTCTGGCACAAGGGAGATGTCTTTTGTTGAAACCTAGGGCTTCCCTGCATTCAGGCAGTGTGTGAGCAAGCAGGCAAGTTCAAGTCCCAGGGGTAGGAGAAGCAGTTTCTGGAAGCCCTTTCCTTTATGGCCCTGTACAGTCTGTTTTCTGTTTTCTCACGGGAAAAAGGAAGCTAAACCCGAAAATTATTCAATGCTCTCGAAAGTTCTGGGTGTCTACAGACTTGAGCAGGTATCGTTCTGACTTTTATTTGTTTAAGTGTTTGAGCTTAGCAATGATATCACCAGAAGCTATTAAGCTTAATACGAGATGAGACAATTTACAGGCTTTATTAACATAGGACACTGAACATGTTCTGTTTCTGTATCTCATTATGCGGGTGACTTTGGAAGAGCTTACTTAGTGATGCTGAGCCTCACTGTTCTCATCTGTGAAATGGCTGTTATGAAAATAGCGTCCCCAGTGACCTCATTGGGCAGTTGTGTAAGGATCAAATGAGATAATGAATGTTTTACAATGAAACTACCCTCCCGACTCCAAGCACATTGCATAACTCACTTGTGAAAAATGCCTCTGCTCACTATGACAGCTCATCCCAACTCCAGCATAGAAAGATTTTGCAATTCTCCTTTTTTTCAAAGCCAGAATAAGGAAATGATTTCCTTTATAGAGGTGTTTTGTTGCAGTCTGAGTGGAAAAGGCTGAGAAGTTACTGAGCTCTTTCTTGTTGGCCCCTGGAAACCTCACAGTTATGCTATTAGAATCCTAGCTAGCCATCACTAGACTGTAGAACCACCAACATGGGTAAGACTCTTAGCTGAATAAAACGTTTCTCCTCATAATGGAAACAGGTGCCTCTATAGCCGTGGGTATAGGGAAAAGCCCATGACTAACAGGTGCCTCTACAGGTGCCTCTACAGCCATGGGTATAGGGAAAAGCCCTTGACTAACAGGAGGAAGAAAGAAATAGTACCTTTTCAACAAGTAAGTATTAAAAACTTTATGACTACAAAACATTTGCTAAAGGAATGAACTCAGGAAACAGATTATGTAGGTTTATTCTCAGCATATGCCACTTTACAACTGTGGGACCTTAGGCATGCTTCATGGCGTCTTTGTGTTTAGTTTCTTTACTATATATGGAGGCAGAATGTAGAGGTGCCTCCTTCCCAGGACCTTTATGGGGATTTAATTAGTTAGTATTTACAAAACGCTTGAAACTCTTCACATGCAAATTCTGCAAACGGATTTATTCATGACTTATTTGTCAGATGCTGGCTAGTGTGCCAGACTCTGGAGTGAAGCCTCCATGTTTGCTTAATAAAGAAGGTATACTCCACGGATTTTATATCAAATATAAGATTTAAAGGGGCTTTGAACTTATAGACCTAAATGTAAAACTTTCAGAGGCATTTTTAGCATGTGGTGTAAAAGCCACACCTAAGTACTTTACAAATGCTTTCTTTAGACAACATCAAGCCAGTTTGGAAATCTGGGATCTCAGATCTGATCTCAGTTTAGACAAACCATTTAACTCTTCATGCCTCAGTTGCTTTCTGAAAAAAAAAAGCAATAAAAAACGCTGGCTTGACAAGGAAGTTGTAAGATGAAAATGAGATAACGTTCGTAAATTCTGAGTGTTTGCCAGGAGAGGCGCCACCTAATGCAAATTGTAATTAGTAGCATCTCATATCCCACTGGAGGCTGCTTTACACATTATTATCTTGTTAAATGACTAAAGCCAATCTTAGAAATTACAATGTTGGGGGTTGGATCATTAGGACCATGGTGCCAGACAGCCTCTTGCAGAAAAATGGTTGGGAAGGCGCCACGGGACTGCTGGGTTCAGACTCACACGGAGCAGTACCAGTGCTCTTTGCTTGGGTCCAGCCTGAGAGGAGTCTAAGAGAAAAAAATGGCTCCCTCAGGTTTCTGTCTGGTATGCAATCTATCGAAAAATAGCTGGAAGACAGTGAGTTTCCTACCTGGAGTTCGTTAACCACTTAACACTGCTCCCCATATGTGGAATGCCATGACTTCAATATTCTTACTATTCTATGTTTTTCTGTGGTGCATGGTAGCAGGCAAATGCTTGCAGAAGTTAATAAGCTGATATATGTATCGTCCTAAGAAAGTCCACTACTTCTAAGGGACAGCATCTTCAAAAATTGCTACCTATGAAACAATACAGGCAAGCCAGGTGATTTTAGGTGATGTACAGATAAATATTTATGCACATTCATAGAAGAGTATGTGTGTATTTAAAAGCTAAATATAGTTCACAAAACTATACATTCATAGATAAGACTACTTAGGTTCAAGTTTGTACTTGAAGAAGTTAGCTTGTGAAAAAATGGTTCTGGCTTAAGAAACCAGGCAATTAACAATAATAGGAATTCCAAAGCATCGTGGAATAATGAGAGCATCCGTTTTGTGTTTTCAAATTTCTGAGTGTGGGATTTAGACCCTAGAGCAGAAGTTAGAGGAAAATGATTTCTTCCATCTGGACCAATAGCCACCGTTTGGGAAAGACTTTTGCATGCTTTCTGTTATTTTCAGGTCAAGCATAGTTGTTGCTGTTTAATAGACGTAGAAACAGATTTGCTTTCTTTGAAATATTGTGCACTAGCAAGCTGCCAAGGATTTGCATATGGTGTAACGTTGTTTAGGGAAAGGACTCAGATGCTGAGTGGTTTCCACACAGTAGAGAACTGTTTGCTGAAGCCAATGGAGACCTACTTAACTCCTCATGCACCCACACACCTATTCATGGGCCTGTGTTCCAGGCAATAGAAGGGAGGGGAAGAATTTGGCCCCAGGGAAGTCCAGCATTGGCCTGAATCCTGGAGAGGGCCAGGAAACCCCCTTTAACTATAGCTCCCATTACATATTCCACAGAATTGCCATTTACTGAGGTCAGAGGACCAGGCTTTTCTACATATATCAGTTGGTCATTAGCTATGTCTGTCCCTACTAGCTTCCAGAGTGAGATGGCTGCTCCAATTGCCCAGGGCAAGTTTCCCAGAAGCAGGGATATTTTGTTAGTCTTTGTCAGGCTACATTCAAAACAGCTGGGGGAGGGTACACTAGCTCAGCAAGTGGGACCTGGTAGGGGCTGTCATGGCAATATCAATTCAGTCCTGAGCATAGTAACAGTGACACTCAACTAATATCCCTCTCTACCCCAGCACATGTGTACACACACACACACACACACACACACACACACACACACACACACAGATTATTTCAAGGAGTAGCAATTTGAAAAAATACATAAGGGCCCCTTCTCAAATAACTGAACATTAAAAGCGAACATTTTAGAACAAATACACAGATAATTTATGAATGCAAATACATAGGCATACATAAATATGCAAAATATAATGTGTTTAAACATAGGTAAGATTATAAATGTTTGGAAAAATATTTTACCCCAGAAAATGCAAATGCTTTCTGTTCAAAGAATTCAGAAAATAAATTCTTCTTCTATAGAGCCTATCCCCTTGGGCTTTGTCATAAGAAGGAAGAAAAAATTTTCAAGAAATGCCAGGTTATCCTCCTGACATATTCCTACTTGGTTCTGAGACAATCTGAGCTAAGAAGTGCATTTCATCAAGGCTAGAAGTATATAGGTTTTGATAAATGTGAGTAGAAAGGGAAAGGGGGCAGGGGAACTGTGGTGGTATGAAGCAAGGGTCTATGTTTAGCCCTTAGGAAAGTTTGGATGGGTATCGTACTTATTCTCCTTCTCAAAGGATGTTAATTAAGTACATATC